TTCTAGGATAAGTATCCCTGAAATCAACAATATATGACTGGATTTTTGTACTATTACCTAGTATAGATACCACTGAGGAACAGCATGTATAGTTATTTACATTAATTTTCAAAGTATTTGATAATGTCATAATTTTATAATTTATTAATTTATAAACAACTACTAATGTATAAATTTGCATATGAAATACCTTATTCAAACTTTTATATAAGTTATTATTTTTATACATTTGAGGTAATGGGCCTGGTAAAGTGAATGGCACATATTAAGTACCTAAAGGTTAAGATAATTGAAGAATGAAGTAAGTTCTTATGGAATAGGTTGTTTTATGAGTGGATGGGTATTGCTCCTGGCTTCCCACTGCATTTGGAATGAAATCCAGATGTTTGACCAGCCAGTAAAGCCTTGTATGATTTGATCATTTATCTCTATCTTCAAACTTCTCTCTTGCTTGCAATGTTGAAATCATACCAAACTTCTTTAAATTCCTCTAACACTGTAAGTTCCTTTATTTATAATGAAAAAAAATGTTATGGTTCCCCCATAGACTCTAATCTCTTATTAGGATGGAGATCTCATATATATTATTTGCTAACAACTCAGTGTTTAGCAAAATAATTGAAATGTAATAAATAGTAAGTAAATATCTGTTGAATGACCATATATGTGAGTGAAAGAACACTGGACTTGGTGTCAGAAACCTTAGCTTAAAATCCTGAAATGTATTCTGAATCCTGATCTACATGAGTGTGCTTGTGAAAAGTTATGGCATTTTAATGTTAGCACTGAACGTCCTAAGATGCTCCTACTTACTAGCTATGTGAAGAAGAATAAGTCAATTTCTCTGAAACTTAGTTTTGTTATTTATCAAGAAGTATTATTATACCTACCTCATAGGGTTATAAACCCCGATAAGATGGCACAAATGAAACCTCCTTATCATAATAGATACATATCAAATACAAATTGAATTTTTAGTGTTTGAAGGATATAGAAGTAGAAAAAAATGCAGAGGTGAAGCTCCCAGAGTCCTAGTAGACTTTCATGCAGAAGAGCCCTCAGGCAACTGGAAAGCTGTGGCTTTAAGGAGACACCATGAGGAGGGAATGAACTTCTGTAAAGCATTCCACGGGGACTTTAGGTCCGCTTACCTTTAAAAATTAGAAGGACCTTGGGGCCTGGGGAAGAGCAGAAGGCTAGAACTGTCAAAGCCTTAAGTAGGGTGGTCAGAGATGACAGTAATGGTGCCTCTAAGCACAGTGAAGGCGCCATTACCTTATGAGCTGCCCAACCAACCATGAGAGAGCCATGTGACTGAAAAGTAAAGACAACATAGAAATGCTTCTCTACAAATTAAATTGTAGCCTGCAGTGTTTCAAAACTAATAAAAAGCTAAATATAATTGAATCTAATAGAATTACTAGAAAAAGAACAACTACCCGGAATAGTAGTCTCCAGGCTGTTGTCACAGGAAGGCTGAGAAAAGAAGGGTGAGTACATATAGGGGATATCAAAAATGGTAAAGGAATCTCTTAAAGAACTAGGAGTACACATTCAAAGCTTAAATAGTTAACATAACTGAAGCTAAAACTTAAAATTCAAATTTTAATTTAAAAAATTCAGCTCATAAAATATACATTATACTACCCCTTTGTCTTAAGTAGTAATAGTTACTTTTAATGTATTGAACCAGATTGACCAACTAGAAAATAAACAAGAACCAGGTGGAACCAAGACTTAACCTTTTGGAAAACCCCAAATCTTTGTTAACTTCCTCATAGGTGCTACTTGCGGTTATCAAGAACAGTTAAAACTGTTCTGATTTAATCCTCCCTCAAAGCTTTCAAAGATTCAATTGGTGTTTATTCTGTATCTATTGTGATAAGGCAGCTCCCCTACGTCTTGTCTATGTAGGCCACTAGAGCCCTTATTGCAAATGAGCTAGAGGCTTGCACAGGCTAGAGGTATAGAAGACAAATTGCTTACTTTCTAAGAATTAGACTATATGTTAGATACTATAAAATGTGAACATCTGTTTGAGGTAGCACATAAGTTCCATATTATATGGGCGTTTAACAGAAAAAGAGATTACTTCCTACTCAGATAATGAGGGAAGATATCAATATTGATATTGAAGGATGAATTGAATTTTTGTAGAAGTAGATCATGCACAGGAAAAGGGCAGAAGCATAGAGTTGGAAGAGTTCAAAATATATTTGTGGGATGAATAGAGGCTGGTTTGACTGGAATAGTATAACTATTAAGAAAGGTGAAACCTGGTTGCAGAGGGTATTTAATGCCAGGCTTTATATAAATCCACGGGACAGTGATTATTTAGATTTCCTAATGTCTAGCTAAAAGCTGCTTTCTTGTTATTGTTTTTATTGTTAAGTGTGTTCACATCATTTTAGAAGTAATATTTGGTTTCATTTGGGGACCTGATTGAGAATCAAAATTGACAAGTACTGCTTAGAAAATCTGAAAGAAGGGACTATAAAGTAGAATATCAGGGGATCAGATGGAAAGACCATAACAACTGAAGAAGCAGGGAGGTAATGTGGGACTGGGTGAGTTTGAGATATAGAATGATATGGGTAAGTAGGCCTTGAGCCCTGTATCTCTGTAAATTATCTTCTTTAAAATAAGATGCTGATCTTTGGAGGTTTATTGCTGGAATGCTGGGTGAAATAACTGACAGAGAGTATTGATTTTTGCCTCCTTGCTTTCTATCTTGATCTTCCTCTGGAAGATAGCTGCCTCTGATGATACCTGTTATCTATCTCTACCATGTTGACCTCTGGAGAGCCAATTCCTCTTTCTTGGCCCGTTTCTGACAGCCCTGTCCTTTGTGGTTCCCCCTAATACAGCTGAAATAGGCTTGGTTCTTTTCAAAAAGACATTATTAAATATTAAAGAATAATCAAGAAATAAAATACAAGAAGTCCTGCCAGATTCACTTAACATCTCTGATATCACTGTCCCTAGTGAAGCCACTCTCACACCTCAAATGCCCTTTTTCTACTGCTGACCAAGATATCTTCTTAAAATCCCAGTTTAGGTATATAACATACCACTTCTCTGCTTAGCTCTTTCATGGCTTCTCATTTGTACATGGACTATATCGTTGACTTTCTTTTGTTATTTTCTGAAATTAGAAAGGTTTTATGGAGAAATATATATTTACAGTGAGTATTTTATTTATCTGATTTGAGAAGTTACAGTTAAAATTGAGGTGATAACTTGGGAAGGATGAAGACCTTCCTGTGTAAAGGTATAAAAGTTAGGGCTCTTTCCTAAAGCCTTCCCACAGGAGTTTCATCAGGGATCACTGGATTTCAAACTGTTTCTTGGTTTTTGCTGAGGTATATCCAGGCTGACTCAAGGAGAAATCCCACTGTGTGGTGAGTCTGCAGCCCTCCACCTCAATTCCACCTGGAGAATTCTGCCTTAACCCATTTTATATAATATATATATTAATGATCTGCATAAGATTTTTTGAGGGCTGTCTGCTGCTTTCAAAAAAGGTATGTTGAGGATGGTGCCTGTGGCTCAAAGGAGTAGGGTGCCAGGTCCATATACTGGAGCTGGTAGGTTCAAACCCAGCCCTGGCCAAAAAAAGTGTGTTGATGAGAAATCTTGACATCTTTACTCTGTGTTAATTTTGTTTCATATAATTAATATCTCATTGGAAAATAATATAATTTGAGAGCCACAAGAGGCTTTCCCAGTTCTTTTTCAGTTTCTCAAAATGAACTCCAAAGAGTAGCACTCCTGAGAAATGTTAATTGCTTACAAAAAGGACTATGTAGCCAAATACTGTGAGACTCTATTTTTGTCACATTTCTTGTTAGTGTTTTAAAGGCTCTGAACAGTCTTGTAGTAAAGAAATCCTTTGACCTTATGTCAGCATTTCCTACATTTATTTGATTATAGAGTCCTGTTTTTTGAATAACATACTTTTAGCATCATATGGTGGCTACTTTGGGAAACTCATAGTTCAGCCCCCTCCTTTTGCAAAGAATTTATGATAGAAAATGATTTGTCCAGTATTACATAACTGATTATCAGGTTTCAGTCTCTTATTTATTCCTAATTTTTTTCTACTTCATGTAGGTTATAAATTCTTTAATGGGTGATAGACTATGTCTTAGGTATATTAGCTCTCAGGTGCTTAACTTCATATTGGGAATGCGACAAGTCACTCTATGTAAACCCTGTAAGAAAATGAAGTATTGTAGTATAATTAGCTTCTGTATATGTATATGATTTTTTATCATTTAAAAACAAAATTGGGGCAGTGCCTGTGGCTCAAAGGAGTAGGGTGCCGGCCACATATACCGGAGGTGGCGGGTTCAAACCCAGCCCCAGCCCAAAAAAAAAAAAAACAAAACAGAATCGCTGTTCCCCCATGCATGCCCTCCCCTCTGCAATTACAATGTGTTTTTTGTTTGTTTGTTTCGTTTCTCCAAAGTTTCTGTTGTTATAAATTCATTGTCATTGATTCATATTGTTTATTGGAAATAATTCTGTGGACTGCTTTGCCTCAGGAATAATTAGATTAGGGTTGCTGCTGTTTAACACTATTCAGGAAAATGTTATACTGAAAAGGGTATTAGATTTGTCACAGAATGATATTGAAGGAAAGCCAGGGACAAGCAAGCTAATAACATGCTAATCTGGGTATTCACATTGGACCTTTTGGCACTTTGTGGTGATACCACTATCTTCCTAAGATAAGCATGTGACTAACTTGATGATTTTTATTTGGCAAAGCAGAAGCTAATATCAGATAAAGAAGTTTATGGTAAGCTAACATAGAGATCATGCTTCTGGAATGCTGTGTTTTTGCCCTCTGAGGTTAGATATCTGTTTATGATAGAGAAAACATTTATGTCGGAGAACAAGACTGGAACACTCTGAAATGAAATGTTCACATTGACCACTTCAGCTGTAATGGACTCTGTAAAACTGATGGTGTATATGTGCTCTATTTTCTACAGGGAATCATTATCCAGAGACCTGCAGAAGACCACAAGAAAACATGGGGAGGAGTAAGTTTCTTTTTACTTTTAAGTCATTTAGAAGATTCTGTCCATAGACAACTGTAGCCAAGAAATCAGATTTGCAACTCACAGTATTTTTGTGGACACTTAAATTGTATTTCTTGTTAGTGTTAGAAAGTTTATGTCTGAGGTAGAGTTATGCAGAGAAAAATCAACAACTACACATTGCTCACTGTCAGATAGCCCAAACTTGATAGTACATAGACCTGCCCCAAACCCAGCTTCTTTATAATTCTTCCTATGTTTTATTGATAGTAACATTAAACAAACAAACACATTATTCTACTATCCAACCAATGACAGTAAAAAATTCATCTGTGAGGCTGATTTGCAAATTGGGTTTCCCTTAAAATATTAAAACCTAACATTAAGAACTAGTAGATAATTCCTTGTGTTTATTTTTTACTTTTTCATAAGACTCCTTATGGGCAGTAGACAGTGGACAATAGACAAATTTAAGGTCATTTCATTGTTCATAATATTAACAGCCACCATGGTGACTTCATAAATATTTCTAATCAGTGTAAATCATGTCAACATAAAATAATCAGAAGAATCAGAATCTAGTTTAAAGAGAGTTTATTTAAGCACAAAGTCTGAAAACAGGCCTGCTCAAGAAGCACAGATTCCAAAGAATGGAAATAAGTGTTCCAAAGTGAAAAAATTTAGAATCACTTATAAAGACAAAATTTAGGGAATTTTAACAAAATTACAACATCTTTCTATGTAAGGCTTATGCATAGTTATAAAAATCTGATGAGTCAAGGTGGTCCTTCTCTTTTGGGAAAGGTGTACTTAACATTCCACACTGAAGGTGTAACTGTCAAAAGAGTTCCTGTTTAGGGTGCCATCTGTTCTGATTAGTATAGGACAATAAAGGAAGAAGTTAATATATAACAAAGATTAGTGACTGGAAGAAGAATGTCTGGTTTCTGGTCTTTACTAGTATGAACAAGAACGATGAAGAAAAGAGTTAAGCTATAAGCTAAGAAGCAGAATTGCAAAATATATGACTCAGATCACAGTAGCATCTCTCTCAAGGCTTTAAGTGTTGGAGGTTCAAATAGCTTTTAAATTTTATGTATTTTCACAGTCATAAAATCAGAGTGCTATGCAGGGACCTCAGAGGAAGATTTGGTGTAATGGTGGTACTATGGTGCCCAAAGTACCCACCATATTGGGCACAGAGTATTGGACACAGAGTCAGAAGGCCTGAATTCAAGATCTACCTCTATTACATTGATCAAATTCTAGAGCCTCCCTAAACTTGTTTGTTCATCTTTGAAGTAGGTCAAATACATTCTGTACTTCTAGTCTCAGGAGTTGTGGTTGGCATAATGTGATAATACATTTAAAGCTGTTTTGAGAACTCTAAAGTATAATGGAATTGTGCAGTGCTATCTGTTCATTGTTGTCCTTATTGAATAAGTATAATATCTTCATCATCGGTTCTTTTAATGGTCAAAGTCAAGTTATTTGATCAGATGCTTCTGAGGGCAGCAGGACTGGAGCTAGGGTTGTACAAGTAACTAAGCATTCTTTTTTATGTTATAGCTTGCTTGCCATAGCTTGTACCAGTCCTAGTAGACAATCCCAAGGAGAATGGATCAATTATGGAAAATATCTTCCTGAACCTTGTTGAGTCAGCTTCTGCTCCTATTTTCTCCAGAGATTCCCTTGGAAATTTATTAGCCCTAGGGATTCTGGTTCTTTCCAGACATTCACAGATGTCAGTTAATCTTTGATGGCTTAGAACTTTTAAAAATAATTTAAAAAATGAAACTAGTTAAAGTTCTGGACCTAATTCATATCATATCTTGCCCCCAAGTCAGCGGTCAATGGAAGCTTCCACAGTAATTCATCATGGGTTGGTCATCATTCAACCCCAAAAGTTTCAAGTAGATTTGGAGAATACTCTGGTTGTTAAATGTCACCATAGCCACATGGAGAAGAGCTACACAGAGACAAGGCAACGCATTCTTGTTTTTTCTTTTCCTTTTCAGACTAAAAAAGTCACTGAAGTCACTAGCAAAGGGATTACTTTGTTTACTTTTTTTTTTTTTTTGGGACAGAGTCTCACTGTGTTGCCCTGGGTAGAATGCTGTGGCATCACAGCTCACAACAACTTCAAATTCTTGGACTTAAGTGATTCTCTTGCCTCAGTCTCCCAAGTAGCTGGGACTACAGCCACCCACCACAACGCCCGGCTATTTTTTGGTTGTAGTTGTCATTATTGTTTAGCTGATCCGGGCTGGATTCGAACCTGCCAGTCTTGGTGTATGTAGCTGGTGCCATAACCACTGTGCTACGGGTGCTGAGCTTATTTTGTTTACTTTAAAAGATGCCTCAGCAAGTGTTGGTTCAAATGGTAAGGCAGTTAATATACAGTTGATCCTTGAACAATGAAGCACATTAGGGGTACTATACCCCACACACAGTAAAAAGTCCATGTATAACTTTCAGCTCCCCAAAAACTTTACTAATAGCCTACAGTGACCCGAAGCCCTACCATTAACATAAAAGGTTGATTAATACCTATTTTGTATATTCTTTGTATTTTATATATTATTATAATAAAGTAAGCTAGTGAAAAGTAAATGTTATTAAGAAAATCATAAGGAAGAGAAAATATATTTACTATTCTTTAGTGGAAGTGGATCATCATAAATTATCCTCATTGTTTTACATTGGGTAGGGCAAGAAGGAAAATAAAGAAGAAGAAGAAGTGTTGATCTTGCTGTCCTGGGTGGCAGAGGAGGCAGAAAAATCCGTGCATAAGTAGATTTGCACAGTTCAAATCTATGCTGTTTAATGGTCTGCTGTAGTTCCTGTCAGAGAACAGGAACTTGATAATGTAATCTGCAAAGATGGGCATGTTTCCAACCTGGAGATCGGACAAGGGATGTGCTTCAAAGAATACTGCTTTAACAACACAGAAGCTCGTGATGACATTTTGACTGTGTTGACCACTTTAAAATCATTTGTAACATCCTAAATCTCAAAGAGAGTCTGTCCTTTACTCTCTAAGCTTTGCTTAGTTTGTCTGATTATGTTTGTTAATTGCTGACACAGTTATTGGAAAAAGAAAGATGCTACTGTGTACTATTTTCTCTTTTCTGATGCTAAACAATGAAGTTTTTACTGGATTTGGCAAAGATTCTCACAAACGTAGCTCAATGTATCATACAAAGGGACACAGAGGTGGGGCCATGCCTGTGGCTCAGTAAGTAGGGCGCCAGCCCCATATACCAAGGGTGGCAGGTTCAAACCCAGCCCCAGCCAAACTGCAACAACAACAACAACAAAAAAAATAGCCGGGCGTTGTGGCGGGAGCCTGTAGTCCCAGCTACTCGGAAGGCTAAGGCAAGAGAATTGCCTAAGCCCAAGAGCTGGAGGTTGCTGTGAGCTATGACGCCATGGCACTCTACCAAGGGCCACAAAGTGAAACTCTATTTCTAAAAAAAAAAGGGGGGAGGACACAGAGGAAAGTACCACAAAGATATGGCATTAGCCTCATGAAATGATTTAAGGATCCATGAAAACAAAGAACATAGCTGGACAACTATACAGTTTAGGTGAAAAAATAAAAAATGAATTAAAATTGAGGAGAATTTATTTTAGTATTCTTTGATACCAGATGAAGAAATTATTTATAACTATATGTTAGAAAAATCATTTTCTTAATTTATGTGACTAGGGTAAGATGAAAACAAACTTGTGTATTAATTTTCCTATTAGACCACCATCAGTATTCATTATGTGAAGCATAGAAATTCTATTTACTATATATAAATTCTTAGGTAGGGCTTTGTATTTAAGACTCTAAAGAACTTATAATTATTTTGATATTAATAAATCTGTAGAGCACTTTAAACTCACAGATATTTCCTTTACATTACCTTATTTGAAAGCTGTATGACAACCCTATGAATAAATAGGGATTAGTATCCTCATATGCTATAAAAAAGAGGCTCAGAGGACAAATCCTTATCTATAATCTACAGCTTGTTACTAGAGAGCCAAATGCAAAACTAGGTCTTTTTATGTCATATGCAGTTTTTCTTTTCTTCCAATAAACCATGTTCTGAATGTTCTATTAATCAGTAACATATAAAGTAAATTATTAATAAAAACTTAGGAGCTATCTGTTGCTGTTAGAGGTACAAAAGAAATTATTTTCTAAGATCTATGACAATGTTCTTATATCAAGGGGACTAGACAGACAAGCAAAGGGAAATGTCTCATTGTCCATCAACATTTGTGGTAACAGTTAAAACACATGTTTATCAGATAGTAGAGTGCCTCAAGTATTAAAATCTTCAGAGTAGCAGTGGTCCCTGGCTATAGTAATTCAAAAGGCAACAGCATTGATTGTCAGTGACCAAAGTAGATTAACAAGATATTTCAATTCAGAAGCTTGCTCTGCACAAATCACAAGGGAGGTACCTAAAGTAAGTGGCCTGACACTGTTTACCTGGCTCCTGTGTAACTTACCATTTTTAAATGATAGGTTTTTATCTTTGTGGTTTTTCTTGCCACAAATAATGTAATACATCACGGAACACCAAAACAGAATGAAATGACAAGATGGGATGCTAGTTCAATAAAAACCAGCATGTACAAATAAAATCATGTGTAAAATTATAGTAGAGAATTAACATTTTCACAAAGAAGAGAACATGAGGATTCTGCAATGTGTGTAAGTAAGCTCACAAAATATTACATACGTAAATAGTCAGCTCTCCATATGTGCAGATTCCACATCTATAGATTCAACCAAGCACAGATCAAAATATTCAGAAATAAATAAAAATAAAAAATAATACAACAATAAAAGCAATACAAATAAAAACAGTACAGTATAACAATTATTTATAAAGAATTTACATTATTTTGTGTATTAAAAGTAATCTTGAGAGAAAGTACACAGAGGATATTTTAAGGTTATATGTGAATACTATACCATTTTATATAAGAGAGTCAAGCAT